TTAGTGTGATAATAACAATTAGGAACAATCATGAAACAATATATTGGTAATATATTAGACTCCTAATAGATAATTATTTCAATGCTTGCCATCTTCTCAATCATCATATTAGTCTTTTATTTATTTATTTATTTTAATTGTCACTTGCTTTTATGTTACATCAAAATCCTTTGGCACAGAAAATACTATTTCCTTCTTCAGTCCACAGTTTCTATGCATGATTTTTTTTTCCATGTTCAATGGAAAATGTATGTTTTTAAAGGTAGCGTTCTAAACACTGGGGAAAAGAACAGTCTCAGGAAGTTTTACTCAAGAGTTGTGAACTACATGCAGGTACTGTCCATAATCTGAATGGGGAGCCTAGAAAATCAACTTAAGCATGTGCGCAACCCAATGCTGAATACATGAACATTTCCCTGCATAAATATTACTTTTGGACTGATGTGGAATCAGGCCCTATGAATCTGAATCTACATCCAGATTTCTGTAAAGCTGCTTTGTAACAGTGTCTGTTGTTAAAAGTGCTATAGAAATAAAAAGTAAATTTAATTTAATTTAATCTAATATAGAGTCTACAATGTTAGCGTCAGGGATTGGCTCTGGATGATTTAAAAAAAAGTTCATTGGACAAACTGGTGTGTTGACAGATACTAATAAGAAAGATCATATGGAGATTTTGTTTTGGAATTTCTTGAAGCGGAACATTGAGATACTGCAGTGTTTGCTTTGTGGTTGCCATGTTTGCCATGTACTAATCAGCGCTTCATCATACATTGGGAATCGAACCATGTGAGCAAGAGGAAGTCTGGATAATATTCCAGTTTGCTGATGGAAACATCAAACGCTTGTCCCTCTCTCTTCTTCTCCTCTCTGTCCCTGCAGTTGGGGTCAAACAAACCAGGTTTGAAAAGTGAGCCATTTGTCAGTACATCAAGCATATGTCAATTGCCATGCAGAGAAAATCCCAAATCCTAATGGACCATTACATCTTGGAGGCCTTGATGAGTTGTATAAGTTTTGGCGATGTGGTTCTATTGATATAACAGGACCTCATCTGGGTCTTCATGGTGCCAAGCTGATACACAATAGTTTCCTCTCTTATTATAGACTGCACAGATGAGGGAAGAGGTTGGGGAAGTGAGGGTCGTTTGACTAATGACTACACCATACGTGGGTTCTGGCTGCACTCAAAAGAATCAGAGATGGGAAAGCTTTCAGCTTCTAAATGGGGCAATGAGAGTCTCACAGCTGCTGGAGGCTAACGACAATGCTGGTTAGTCCAATCACATATGGACCATAGGGTTAGGCTATGGGATGTTTGTTTCCTGCTGTGCGGCTTTGATGGAAGCCTGTGATGGCAGACTTATAGAGGGATCAGAGGACGAGAGGTGGAGTAAGAGAGCTGAGAGAGGACGAGAAGGTCGACAAGACTTGGCTTCAAAAGAATTCTTCAGTTCTGCCACCTTGGCACCTGTGTCCCGTGTGTATTTTATTATGGTTCGAGTCCTGTGGTAATGTTTATGTAATGCTAAAAAGATGAATATCTGGCAGCAACGAGATACAAAAAGTGTATGTGTTTGGATAGTGGTGAAAGGATGTCTGCAGCACAGCTGGAAACACACAATATGAATGTGGGGCGATCAGAGCAATACCCTAACACAGGACAGGAGGAAAGAATTCATCTTCGGGTCTTGTATTCCCTGAAGACCCTCATGCCTTTGCACATCTTGGCCTATGTGTGTGCATCAATAAGAGAAAATATACAAAACAGTTTAAGGTTAAAAGTATAAAAAAAAAGCAAAAGCTTTTGGCTTTTTTTCCCAAAAGCAGTTTTGTCTGTCAGAATGTGACAGCGGACTCAAAGAAAGAGTTGGGACAAGACAAGGAGGTAGAGTGAGAAGAACCAGAGATGTACTCAATCATTCATCTCCGGTAACTGCTGTATCTTAGTCAGTGCTGCAGAGGATCTGGAGCCTATCCCAGGAAAACCTGGCACAAAGCGGAAGAATTTACCCCAGATTGGACACTAATCCATCTCACACTCACATTAATTCAAGCCTATAGTCAATTTAGTGTAGCCAATTTGCCTACCTGCATGTCTTTCGGAGGTGGGAGGAAACTGGAGAACCTGGAGGAAACCCATGCATACACAGGGAGAAACACGCAAAACTCCACACGGACAGTAACTACAGCTCGGGATTGAACCCCAGAACCGTGAAGAGGCAACACTACCCACTGCACCAAAATGCTGCACTGCCAAAGCTGTACTGTTGACAGAATTGATTTGACTCATTTAACAAAAACTGCCTCTCAATTAAAACTGAAGCAAGTAGAACCCCACGCCAGTGGTGATGACTGGGATGCTTTCCTTCAAGCAGCAGGGAAGCTATTGAACAAAAACATTTTCTTTCTCTCTCAACATTTTAGACATGACGTGACTTCCAAAATCGAATCAGTTTATCTGCCGGTTACAATGATAATTCCATAAACATTCAACCCCTTGTTGCTGAGATACTGTGTTAACCAGGATCTTGGACAGACACAAAGATGGATGGGTGGATGGATGGACAGATGCATAAAAATCAAATCAACTTGCTGTCACTCCAAAAATTCATACTCATACCGGTTTCTCTCTGCACCTTTCTGTAGAATGGCCACATTATTACCAGGGACTTATAGCCTCAAAACTTTTCGTTGGTTGTTTTTCTAGTATCTGGTGAGTGTTTTGTCTGTCTTTTTTCATGTAGGTTTGTTGCCATGTCCTCCTGAGCTTTCTTTCTAAATGTTCTGACTGCTGCTCTCTGAAACTAGCCTCTCGCTGTGAGTCCGATGGGGGTCTACACACTGGTGAGTAAATCCCTACTTTTTAATTAGCCATATCCATTAGTATCCCTTGGTCTTTCATCTAACCAACAATTTTACTGTTTGGTGTTGGGCTACTCATGTTGGGTAATGCCTCTGTGCTCTGTTAGTTTGAGCGGTTATGGTTCTGAGCTAGCGATCGTTTCGCGAGTTCAATCCCAGGACTACCAAACAACCCATGTCCTTAACCCCTTACCTGCATAGCGCTATACCTGCATAGGAAAAATTCCTCTATAGCAATATTGTTTGGTGGACATTTGACAACATAAAATGTAACTATAAACAAATTATTATTTCTATAAAGCAATCTAGAGCCAAATTAGCCTACACACCCCTGCTGATAAATTAAACATAATACCATTTATGAGCATGTTAAGATGCTCAGTTTCCACAAATGATTCCACAAGCATTACTTGCTGCTTACTGTAGTGTATATTAGAGCAGATGAAAATGAAGCATCAGTTGATCGCATATTTCATTTCACAGTTTATCTTCAGTAATGAAGCATGGGTCAAACATGCACACAGCCAGGCTAACCTCAGAAAACAAACTGTTACTGACATTGAGTACACCCACGCTAAGAAAAAGCTTTATGCGTTGCATATGCGTCATCGCCTGAAACAACCACACAGCATTAAAACGACGTCAGTAAAAGAGTTTCTTCTCTGTCTGGTGCCCCGTAATGCTCGAAACAAGAGAACAAGAGGATAAAAAAAGAGAGACTGTATAGAATATACAGTATAGGTTTAAAGGGGCTTCATTTTCCACTCACACATCCTCAGTAGTAACACTCCAGGAGTCTCTAAGTGAGAACACAAACAATGTTTACTGCAGTTGTGTCCACACTGGAGGAATGCACGCCTCTAAATAGGGACTTATTGCCTGAAGAGCTGCCAAATGCAGAACAGCACTAAGATTCCAGAAAAGCGAGACAGAGAGAGAGAGAGAGAGAGAGAGAAAGAGATCAAGTAGTAAAGTGAAAAATGCAACTGCTTGTCGGAGTGTAAAATTACAACCCAGCAGACTTCAACTCACGCTGTTTCAATTAATCCACATTCTGATGTTCTTAATGTTTCATGGCTAAGAGATTCTTCTGGTAACTCTTTTTTTCTTTTTTCGCGAAGTGTGGTTTTATAACCATAATTTGTTGTAAACTTTTGGTGACCTTAGTAGGTAAATCTTAGGTTCAGTGGCAGATATAACCTTATAATAGTAAGGTCACAATTTTTATAAATACTAATAATACTTTGTAAAACTCTAATAAGATACTATAATTCCTTCATAAATTACAAACATACATAACCATTGTTGAAAAGTGACCAGATTACTTCTTCTTATTATTACATTTTTTTGCGCAATCTGGAATTTGTGTACTACACAAAGTAGTCATTTCTTTCTACGTTTTTGGAAAAGAGAAACAATTATGCAGGTTTTATAATTATTGTCTGTAGTCTCTTTAGGTTCTTTCAAACTGTACAACTCATTAATGATGAATATCAATAACTGAAAGAGGTCAGTGATTATATTATAAATGTTCATGCTTTATAACGTTATTTTTGTCTTAATAGCTTATTATTTCGACTTAGGAACTCATTGTTTCAAGATATTAATGTCAAATTCAAACTGTCAAAATAACAATTACTGAGTCAAAAATCTTGAACAGACAGGAATGTATTTCAGTAAACTGCATATACGTGTGTATCTATCATTAGATATATGTGGCTACTAAAGCAACATTTTGTTTACTTACTTTATGGGAAACAGCATAGGGAATAAGAACTACAAGCCAACATTCAATACACTGTTCTTGGTGTTGGATTCTAAAATGTTAAATATTAATTCAAAATAACGAATTTGTTGAAATAATGACATTACAACTCGAAATAGTGGGATATTTACAAAATCTTTGAGTAATTAAGATGAAATAATGAGATAATATGTCAAAATAGCACGATAATGTTCTTCTTTCAGCTGCTCCCGTTAGGGGTCGCCACAGCGGATCATTGGTCCACATATTTGATTTGGCATAGTTTTTACTCCAGATGCCCTTCCTGACACAACCCTCCCAAATTTTTATCAGGGCTTGGGACCGGCACTGGGAGCTGACTGTCGTGTGCAACCCCAGTGGGTGGGGTCGGATCCCTGGCCGGGAATCGAACCCAGGCCACGGCGAAGAGCGCGCCGAGGCCTAACCACTAGTCCTCCAGGGACCCAAAATAACATGATAATAACTCAAGATAACGACATACTATCTCAGAATAATGAGTTATAACGTCAAAGTAAGTGACATAGCACTTTCAGCTCTATTCTTTTACAACATGTAGCTCAGGGCTACCGTAAGTGTGAACAATGAATGTATTTCAGTAAATTGCATATATGTGTGTATCTCTCATTAGATATGTGTGTCCACTGTAGCTAACTATAAGCTAACATTCAATACATTGTTCTTAGTGTTACATAACAAAAAAATAATGTGTGTGTAATTCCCCCCAGTTTTTTCTTATAATGTCAATCATTGTTCATTTACCTGTTGACTGGGGGGAGGTGTCAGGGCGGGAATAGTTAGGAATTAGGATAAGACAGCGTTAATAAGGGGCTGGAGGAAAAGGTTTTTTTTTTTTTTTTTTTTTTTTTTTTGTCTTGGGAGAGAAGTGAGAAGGGAGAGGGTGTGCTTGGTTGCACTCAATCTGGTTTAGAGGGAACCCTGTTTGTTTTATCGTTTTCGGGAGTTAGGACACCTCTTGATACTCATGTTCAGTTTGTAAAATTATAGGCAATAAATAATGGCCCACTGGGTGCTTTCGAGCTGGAAACATTCTCTCCTGTCTCCTTTCTGGAAAGAGTCACAACGCCACAATATGCTGAATTAATGAGATAGCAACTCAAAAACTTTGAGCAATTAAGTCAAAATAATAAGATAATATGTCAAAACAAGATAATGACATAATATCTTGAAATAATAAGTTATAAAGTCAAAATAAGTGACATAGCACTTTCAGCTTTATTCTTTCACAACTAGTAGTTCAGGGCTCAGTGTGAACAGCAGTCCTACTAGATTTATTTTATCGTAAATAAAAAGTAAATCAAATCATTGCTTATTTCATTCAGATTCATATGCTGCAAGTCCTTAAAACATCCAGAGTTAAAACATGGATTAATTAGGCAGATTTGTTTGACACTCCTGAAAATTGTTTGACACCATTTAAACAATGGTGCTCAGTTATTTCCCTTCTCCCCACTCATTTCTCTCTCTCTCCCTCTCTCTCTCTCTCTCTCTCTCTCATTTCTCTCTCTCTCTCTCTCTGTTCTCCTGCCAAATTTACTTTAGACCCGATCTAATGTGACTGATCTGTCAATACACACTGCCACGCTGTCAGACACGGTTATACACTGTTCAGGAGTGTAACAGACACACACTCTGATCCACCCTATCACTGAGACCTCGATCAGGCCTATCGGCTTGCACTGAAACCTGAACAGCCACAACCACGGCTCGGATGAAAGACGAAGAAAGCAGTGGGACTTTGGACAAAAAGGCAGTGAGTGCACAAAAGAAGATTTTCAAACATTTTAAAGATGGAGTACTGTCAAAGATAGCTGAATCAAAAGTATGGTGCATGATTCCCTCCCCATTTCATGCACCAATCCGTGACTGTACATCAAGTCCCCGAGTGGCCAGAGCAATGTGTAAAGTAATGCAATGGTTAAAATTCAGCCTTAGATAATAGAATCCACTTAAATCTCACCGCTTAATGATGATCTGACCCCAATTTCCTCAATTCCACAGCATGATTGCAATCATACACACACAAAATACAACCAACAGATGGTTGAGCATTATAAATATGCACTTCAGTCCAGACTATCTCGACATCTGATGCAAAAAATCAAGGGTGGCTGGTATAAAATACTATGCATAATTTAGTAATTACAGTGAAACCAATAGCTGGGAGACTGACGAATATTACTCTGGACCCACAGACAGGAGTCTGAAGGGATAAATCTGTTAAAGTCTGCTAAAATTTATCATCGGAAGAAACCGTAATAAATCGCGCTAACAGTTAGTCTCTATGATAAAAGTGTCTTTGTAGTTTCTGGTGGAAAAAATGAATGTGTGTGTGAGACTTTGTACCTGTATGAAGCCGCACATCACATACTCGTCAAACATCGGCAGGCTGGGCCGGCTCTCCCGGAATATGTGCAGAGTGTATATCGTCATGACGACAGGCTCCTCCCCTGACTCGTCCATCAGCAGAATGCTGATGCGGCTGTTGCCCAGGCCGAGCGGGTAGTTCGCCATTCTGAGGGAAAACAACAAATAAGTTTATGAGAAACTGACCGTGACTAATTTCTCTCTCTCTCTCTCACACACACACACACACACACACACATTGAAGACTACTTCCTCTGTTCCAGGACAAGCAAGATTATAGTAGATTAAAAAGCAGGGTCAGGTCAAAAGACAAACTAATATCCATGTTCAAATAAAGACACAATTACTGAGTCCAGCACATGCAGCCATTATTAAAAGGAATTCAGGTAATTGACAGGAATGTTCCATTTTCCTCCACCACATCTTGACACGAAACAATGCAATGCAAGTCTAAGTGCAGTTGTCAGGGCAGTTAATAAACTTTTATGCATAACACATATTTTTGTAAGCTGCTTTCATGTATCAGTGAACCAAAGGTATTTAAGCTCCAAAGGCCACGGACATATTGAAATTAAAAGTTGTGCTGATATTTACATGGGAAAAGCATTTTCCTTTATGCCTGAAAAAAAACATCATGGGAAAGCAGACCCAGAAATTAATCTAATAAATCAGTCAAAGGGCCCTGGGACTGTGAGCAGACACATCAGAGGAGAAAAAGCGATTAGCACAGGAAAGCTGGAACCCTGCTCGCTCATTGTTCATTGTTCTAATGATGACTAGATTTTATTAAATATTTTAATAAATGAGTATTTTTCCTTTCTGGTTTGCACTAACCAAAAGGGCTGTCTCCACAAAAAATATATATATGTTCCATGTGTAAATATTTGTAACAATAAAAATGAAACTATTTGTTCAGCAAAATAGAACTATCAATTATTAGATTGTGTTTTTTTTAAGGGTACCAACCACATGCGACTAATTTTCAACCAGAGTGACTCATTTGTGAGCTAATCTTGCCTCTGCATTTACACACTATTATGTTCCACCATGTTAGGTCTAGGCATAACATGTACATGTTACTATCAAATCCGCAGTTTTTTTAAAGAATAGAATATGTACGTGATAAAACATGACAGTGTGCTGTTACAGGAAAACAATCAACGACAATGTTGTTGTTTTTTTTATTCATAATGACCATGAAAAAGCTCCTGTTATCACTTACATTATAACAACCTCTTTTTTCTCTATCTTGAATAAAAAAAAAAAAAAATGCAGCTTGTAATATTAGAAATAACTTAAAAAAAAACCCAATATAACAACCAATATTTAACCCACAAGTCCCTGTGTAATTTGTTACTATAAAAACGATAATGCATTAGACCAATCAGAAACGAGTTGCTTAACAGCGCTGTGTTATAAATATGTGTAGACATATAATATATAAAATGTATTCTGGTTACAGGCTTATACCAAGGCATTAACACGTTTTTTACATGTCTTTTGGTCCAAAGGCTCTGCATGAAAGGGATGACCCAGCTGGCTGTTTGAGTGTATATGAGAAGCACAGGTAAATAAAATGTTAGGATTCAGTCATACCTGGGGCCGCGATGTTCATCCAGGTGAACGTGGCACTTTGCGCTCACAGGCTCCGGCCTGATGCGGATAGTGACCACGTCAAACGGTACCTCAGCTCGGTACTCCTTCACCCAGGGGTTAAAGAGCGGCGTTAGAACCAGAGGAGGATCGGTATATAGCTGACGGAGATGGGGCTCCACACACCTCCCTATGGAGCACAATGTAACATCAGTTACATGAAACAGTAACCAACATAAATGTTATTACGGCAATGTGAGCAGTAATTACCTGATTCTGGTGGCTGTGAATCCCACTTCTCAGGCCTGTCTGGATCGTCACTGCTGTGAGAAAAATGTTAATGGAGACTATCTTAACTTTCCATATTATTCTCATAAAACTGACCACAAAAGCACAACCAAATATTCCAGTTATAATAAATTCAGTGGTTTTATTGCATCCATCACATTTTACTATTAAACACACACAGACACACACAGACACTAAAGTGGCCTTTATTTGTGTTCAAATTTGTTGGGCTGAAAAGGCCCAGATGTGATCGTAACCCATTCAGGATTTGTTTCACCGTTTTGTAAAGCTCCTCAGGGATACTGCATTGTTGTGTAATGGTGTTGTGCTCCGTCCAGCCCAAATTCATCCCGCCACTTAACACAAATGGGAAAATGTCCTTCAGTGACTCTTAACAACATGCCCTATGGGAGCAGAAGCAGAGCCAGCTCTGTAATCGCTTTGGTCCGGTCTGGCAGTATGGAGCTTTTCCTGTCTGTTACGAATCTGAAAGCAGCACTTAGCGGTTTAACGTACCAAACTCCGTCCACTCTTTCTCTCAAACTAACATATGGGGCACACTGTAGAACACAGTGTGCTGGAACACCGGTGCTGAACATATTCTTCACATACTGTATATTCAGCATTGCTGTTGAGCTGTCAAATCTGACTAGTCAGAAAGTTTTGATTCATTTTCTATAACAGCACCTCCGACAACAGCGCCAGCTACAAGGCGACCATTACAATAATGTGCTTCTTATAATATGGCATCGTTTCTATAGTAACAACTTACACAGAAACAGGTACAGTATGGATTGTGCTTAAAATAATCTAAGGCTAATAATAAAAGGGTTAAGAAACATGTTGATATTTAATTTAAAAAAATGTATATTTTTTATATATTTTATGCAAGGAGACATTTATTTGATATTTATGGATAGAGTCTCCAGTTCCAGTGCTTTGAATTTCAAGTAATGTAATTTCAGTGTAAGCAGTGTAATGTAAGGGAAAATATTTAAAATTTTTTAAGACACATTAAATTAGTGTGTCTGTGTGTGGGTGTGTGTGTGTTACCTCTGTGTGTAGGACGAGCTGAGTTGTTGGAGTAGGGCTGAGAGACCTTTTGCCCTCCCAGAATCCTCTGCAGTAGGGAATCTTTGAAAGACATCATGCTGGAGATTGGAGAAATGAGATGAT